CATCATCCCGTCCTGCCCTCGTCTTCGACGTGAAGTGAGGAGTTTTGACGTCGTGCACAGAACGTAAGTAAATTTTGGCTTTTTTTGTCCTGAAATGTAACTGTTGGATCCAAGTACTTAATGTAATGTTAAAAGTTGGTATCGATGGTTGTCAGAATCAAGTTAACGGTAACTGGGATAAAAATGAAACAATTTTTTTACTTTCTTTTGTCAGTACATACCGCTCACAAGCTCAAGATGTCGACAAACCTTCCCGCGAAAAAGCAAGAAGGCGATAAACCGGCGTAAGTACAAACTTAATATTCGTACTGAATGAAGTTAGCTGATATTCTGTGGAAATATGTTTACCCTGAGCTGCCCTGATTAAACTATAGCTAGATAAAACCCCAATAATCTGCTCATGTGTTAATAAATCAATTCGATGCTTGGTGTTACCTTAAATTTGTTAAATAAATAAGCTTATGTACAAACTTGCGACTTTTAGAGTGTAGTTCTTGTAGAATGTTCGTATTTCATATTTTTCTCCATTTTGAAAATTTTAATTTCCTTTGATAGCAGCGATTTCCCTCAGCGATGAAAGCTTTGTGTGTGTATGCTTTTAAGCAACACTTTCTTGCATCTTCGTATAAGCTTATGTTTAAAATTAGACTAGCCGACAAATAGCAAGAAGGTAATCCTGGCAAACCAGTATGTACGTAAATAAATTTGTCATAGAAATACACACACACACACTTGTATATATTATATAAATAGTTACACATATATACGTATTATAGTAGTTATTTCCTAAATATTTATAAAAGAAAACGAAGAGATGAAGCAACTGAAACAAAAGAACAGTTATGTCAATAGAGAAGCTACAGAAAAACAAACTTAGCTTATCTTAATTCTTCATTTCATTAATTAGTGTATCTACCTCTAGACAGCTAGGAGTCTTCAGGTTCTAAAATATTTTTTTCCATGATTGTGGTAATACAACCCTTTTTAATAATTTTTTGTTGTATTGCTTGTTTCAATATTTATCTGCAGTGAAAAGATGATGTTTTGGACTGACAGACACGATGTAATTCTCTGTCGAGAAATTTTGATGCACAATCCCTTTCAGTACAAGAAGAGGTCAATTCAAAGAGGACAGGTTTGGAATGACATCGCTGAACGACTTGTTGCAGTTGATGAAGTAAGATTCAAGTCAGATTTAGACAGAAGGGGTGTTCGTGATCGATACAACCTGTTAGCAAATAAGCTGAGAAGAAAGCTAAAAGATGAAAGGAAAGCTTCCGGAATTGAAACTGATATGTCAGAGGTGGAAGTTGCTCTGGAAGATTTGATCGAGAGGGAAGATGAATCGGATAAAAAGCACAAGGAGAATCAAGATCAAAACGTAAAGAGGAAAGAAGATCGACAACAGGCTGAAGATATTCGCACAAAGTCATTGGAGAGACTGGGGAAATTCGGAAACGAAAAGGGCAAGACAGCAACCTTCAGACCAAAGCTAAGAAGAAGAGGGCAACTGGAGGAGATGCAGTAGTGTTCTTAAGAGAAAGAACTGAGGCAATGGTTGCTGCTCGTAAGGAGGAGGTCAATATGAAAGTAAAACAACAAGAGGCTGAGAGCAAACGACACCAGGATTTTCTCGAATTGATGAGGCAACAACAACAGCAACAGCAGCAGCAAATGCATAACATGCAAGGTATGCTTCTCCAACAACAGCAGCAGCAAACTCAGTTGATTATGGCTCTCGTGTCTAAGTTAGACCATAAATAAGCCTTCACACAATGTATTGTGTGGATTTGTTGTTAGTGCTGTTTATCTGTCATTTCTGAGATGATCGTTTAATGTCACGTGTGTCACACTGGCAGATCTAGACCTTGAGATGGGGGGGGTTTCAAGAAAAGTTTTTTTTGCCCCTTTGGGCCTCCGTTTGGTCTAAAAATAAGGGGGGAGGCTGGTTCCCCCCAGGGCCCCTCCCCTGGATCCACCACTGTGTCAGAATAATTCACCTGAAATTGTGAAAATTATTCACCTGAAATTGTGTTTCATGTATTTGAGGCTTAGTGTCTCTTGTTCAAGTTATGTTGATTTCTCTTCTTGTATTGATCTTGAAAACTTCGCAATGTTGACTGTACAGATCATATACGTCGTGATATGCTAGACAACAAGTCTTTGTGAAATGTCCCTGCAATCAACCACTCTGTGATACGATAGGGGGAAAGGACACAGCAACATTTTGCTTCATATGATTTGTTGCCTAGTGTGTCCTGACCTTATAGTTAGGCACTGGGTGCAATTTGGAGCTTTGAACTAATTTAACATTAAATATGTACATGCCAGACCATTTGCTAGGGTAATTTTACAGTTGACAATATTAGTTTGTTGTATTGATGAAAAATAAAAGCCAACTTTATAATCCATTTTTGATTGCATATGCCCTAATACGAGCAGAAACCCATGGGACCAGTAGAAAGGGTCCACTTAATAGAGGTGTCCATGTAAGGGAGGT